AAATGGTTATTAAGGCATGTTTTTTGGACATTTTTAGGAAAAAAAAAGAAATTGAAGCTTCAACTTTGTACAATGATTTAAATTTTTTCATTTCTTGTTATAATAAATAAAAACTGACATTTAAAAAAAAGATGTTTTTCTTTCATATTTGAAAGTCAGGGTGTGTAGCTCAGTGGTAGAAAGTTTGACTTCAGTTCGAGGAGTCAGTGGTTCAATTCCACTAACCCATTTTTAAAACAGATATTTATATATACACATATCCAATTAGAAATGTAAATTCGATTAAAAAGGTTATTAAGGCTTGTTTTTTGTACGTGTTTAAAAAAAAGAAATTGAAATTTGAAATTCGTACAAAGGTTTAAACATTTTTCCATTTCCTGTTATAATGAAAGTAAACTGACAATTAAAATAAAGATGTTATTCTTTCACGGTTTAAAGCTGGGGAGAATAGCTCAGTGGTAGAGCAACTCGACTGCAGTTAGAGAGGTCAGTGGTTCAATTTCTCTAACTCCATTTTTAAAACTGATATTTAGACATACATATATTACAATTAGAAATAAAATTCGATGAAAAAGGTTAGTAAGGCATCTTTTATGGACATGTTTAAGAAAAAAGAAAGAAATTGAAACTTGCAATTTGTACAAGAGTTTAAACTTTTTTTCATTTCCTTTTACAATGAAAGTAAACTGACATTTAAAATGAAGATGTTTTTCTCTCAATGGTTGAAGCTAAGGAGTGTAGCTCAGTGGTAGAGCATTTGACTGCATTTTGAGAGATCAGTGGTTCAATTCTACTAACTTCCTTTTTAAAACTGATATTTAGATATACATATATTACAATTAGAAATAAAATTCGATTGAAAAGGTTATTAAGGCATGTTTTGTGGACGTGTTTAAGAAAAAAGAAAAAAATTTAAATTTGAAATTCGTACAAGAGTTTAAACATTTTTTCATTTCCTTTTACAATGAAAGTAAACTGACATTTAAAATGAAGATGTTTTTCTTTTCATCGTTCAAACTAGGGAGTGTAGCTCAGTGGTAGAGCATTCGACTGCAGTTCGAGAGGTCAGCGGTTGAATTCCTCTAACTCCCTTTTTAAAACTGATATTTATAAATACATATATTCCTATTAGAAATAAAATTTGATTGAAAAGGTTATTAAGGCATGTTTTGTGGACGTGTTTAAGAAAAAAGAAAGAAATTTAAACTTGAAATTTTTACAAGAGTTTAAACTTTTTTTCATTTCCTTTTGCAATGAAACTAAACTGACATTTAAAATGAAGATGTAATTCTTTTCTTAGTTTAAACTCGGGAGTGTAGCTCAGTGGTAGAGCATTCGACTGCAGATTGAGAGGTCAGTGGTCAATTCCACTAACTCGCTTTTTAAAACTGATATTTAAATATACATATGCTCCAATTAGAAATAAAATTCGATTAAAACTTATTAAGGAATGCTTTGTGGATGTTTTTAAGAAAAAAAAAAGTGAAGCTTGAACTTTGTACAATGATATAAATATTTTTCATTTCTTGTTATAATAAAGGAAAACTGACATTTAAAAAGAAGACGTTTTCTTTATTTGTTGAAAGTTAGGGTGTGTAGCTCAGTGGTAGAGAGTTCGACTGCAGTTCGAGGAGTCAATGGTTCAATTCCACTAACCCCCTTTTTAAAACTGATATTTATATATACATATATCCAATTAGAAATTTAAATTCAATTAAAAAGGCTATTAAAGCTTGTTTTGTGGACGTGTTTAAGAAAAAGAAGAAGTTGAAATTTGAAATTCGTACAAGGGTTTAAACATTTTTTCATTTCCTGTTATAATGAAAGTAAACTGACAATTAAAATAAAGATGTTATTCTTTCACTGTTTAAAGCTGGGAAGAATAGCTCAGTGGTAGAGCATTTGACTGCATTTTGAGAGGTCAGTGGTTCAACTCCACTAACTCCCTTTTTAAAACTGATATATATATATACATATACCCAATTAGAAATGTAAATTCAATTAAAAACGTTATTAAGGCTTGTTTTGTGGACGTGTTTAAGAAAAAAAAAGAAATTGAAATTTGAAATTTGTACAAGGGTTTAAACATTTTTTCATTTCCTGTTATAATGAAAGTAAACTGACAATTAAAATAAAGATAATATTCTTACACTGTTTAAAGCTGGGAGAATAGCTCAGTGGTAGAGCATTCGATGCAGTTCGAGAGGTCAGTGGTTCAATTCCTCTAACTCCCTTTTTAAACTGTTATTTAGACATACACATATTACAATTACAAATAAAATTCCATTAAAAAGGTTATTAAAGCATGTTATGTGGACGTGTTTAAGAAAAAAGAAAGAAATTGAAACTTGAAATTTGTACAAGTTTAAACATTTTTTAATTTCCTTTTACAATGAAAGTAAACTGACATTTAAAATGAAGATGTTATTCTTTTCATCGTTCAAACAAGGAGTGTAGCTCAGTGGTGGAGCATTCGAATGCAGTTTGAGAGGTCAGTGGTTCAATTCCTCTAACTCCCTTTTTAAAACTGATATTTATAAATAAATATATTCCTATTAGAAATAAAATGCGATTGAAATGGTTATTAAGGCATGTTTTGTGAACATTTTTAGGAAAAAAAAGAAATTGAAGCTTCAACTTTGCACAATGATTTAAATTTTTTCATTTCTTGTTATAATAAAAGAAAACTGACATTTAAAAGAAAGATGCTTTTCTTTCATATTTGAAAGTCAGGGTGTGTAGCTCAGTGGTAGAGAGTTTGACTGCAGTTCGAGGAGTCAGTGGTTCAATTCCACTAACCCCATTTTTAAAAGAGATATTTATATATACACATATCTAATTAGAAATGTAAATTCGTTTAAAAAGATTATTAAGGCTTGTTTTTTGTACGTGTTTAAGAAAAAAAAAGAAATTGAAATTTGAAATTCGTACAAGTGTTTAAACATTTTTTCATTACCTGTTATAATGAAAATAACTGACAATTAAAATAAGCATGTTATTCTTTCACTGTTTAAAGCTGGGGATGAATAGCTCAGTGGATGAGCATTCGACTGCAGTTCGAGGAGTCAGTGGTTCAATTCCACCAACTCCCTTTTTAAGACTGATATTTAGACACACATATATTCAAATTAGAAATAAAATTCGATTAAAAATTATTAGGGCATGCTTTGTGGATATTTTTAAGAAAAAAAAGAAAGTGAAGCTTGAACTTTTATACAATGATTTAAATTTTTTTCATTTCCTGTTATAATGAAAGTAAACTGACAATTAAAATAAAGATGTTATTCTTTCACGGTTTAAAGCTAGGGAGAACAGCTCAGTGGTAGAGCATTCGACTGCAGTCCGAGAGGTCAGTGGTTCAATTCCTGTAACTTCCTTTTTAAAACTGATATTTAGACATACATATATTACAATTAGAAATAAAATTCGATTAAAAGGGTTATTAAGGCATGTTATGTGGACGTGTTTAAAAAAAAGAAAGAAATTGAAACTTGAAATTTGTACAAGAGTTTAAACTTTTTTTCATTTCCTTTTACAATGAAAGTAAACTGACATTTAAAATGAAGATGTTATTCTTTTCATCGTATAAACTAGGGTGAGTAGCTCAGTGGTAGATCATTCGACTGCAGTTCGAGGATTCAGTGGTTCAATTCCTCTAACTCCCTTTTTAAAACTGGTATTTATATATACATATATTCCAATTAGAAATGTAAATTCGATTAAAAAGATTATTAAGGCTTGTTTTGTGGACGTGTTTAAGAAAAAAAAAAGAAATTGAGGATTGAAATTTGTACAAGGGTTTAAACTTTTTTTCATTTCCTGTTGCAATGAAAGTAAACTGACATTTAAAATAAAGATGTTATTCTTTCACTGTTTAAAGCTGGGGAGAGTAGCTCAGTGGTAGAGCATTTGACTGCAGTTTGAGAGGTCAGTGGTTCAATTCCTCTAACTCCTTTTTTAAAACCGATATTTAGACATAGATATATTACAATTAGAAATAAAATTCGATTAAAGAGGTTATTAAGGCATGTTTTGTGGACGGGTTCTCGAAAAAAAAAAAAGAAATTGAAGATTGAAATTTGTACAAGGGTTGAAACTTTTCTTCATTTCCTGTTACAATGAAAGTAAACTGACATTCAAAATGAAGATGCTATTCTTTCATTGTTTAAAGCTAGGGAGTGTAGTTTAGTGGTAGAGCATTCGACTGCAGTTCGAGATGTCTGTGGTTCATTCCTCTAACTCCCTTTTTAAAACAGATATTTATATATACACATATTCCAATTAGAAATGTAAATTCGATTAAAAAGGTTATTAAGGCATGTTTTGTAGATGTGTTTAAGAAAAAAAAGAAATTGAAGCTTGAAATTTGTACAAGTTTAAACCTTTTTTCATTTCCTGTTATAATGAAAGTAAACTGACATTTAAAATAAAGATGTTATTCTTTCATTGTTTAAAAGTAAGGAGTGTAACTCAGTGGTAGAGCATTCGACTGCAGTTCGAGAGGTGAGTATTTCAATTCCACTAACTCCCTTTCTAATACTGAACGAAATTGAAGCTTGAAACTTGTACCATCAGTCAGTCAGTCAGTCAGTCAGTCAGTCAGTCAGTCAGTCAGTCAGTCAGTCAGTCAGTCAGTCAGTCAGTCAGTCAGTCAGTCAGTCAGTCAGTCAGTCAGTCAGTCAGGCAGTCAGTCAGTCAGTCAGTCAGTCAGTCAGTCAGTCAGTCAGTCAGTCAGTCAGTCATTCATTGTCAGTCAGTCTGGAAGGAAAATTTCAGGAATGAAAAGCCATTTGTAGCTAAGTTTCCAAACACTAACCCAGAAACAAAAAGGAGCATGCAATGCATAACGACGTTTTTAACTTCGTTAAGATATTAACAGCGAAAAGACCTCATGTTTTGTGTTGCTTTGCTTCACTAAAATCCCTCTTCCAAACTTTTGAGATTGATTGACATCCTTGCACAATTTTAAAAAACTGACTGATTTGTAGTACGCAACAAGATTAAATTGACAATGTTCGAATTAGGAACTAACTACGTTTAATTTGAAATATTTTTTACTTAAATGAAAAAGTATTCTATAAAACTCTCCTATTTTACTCTAGGAAAAGAAAAGTGATCAAAACTTTACGGAATAAATTATAAAACATTTATGAAAGCTATTCTAAAAGTTTCTTGCTGCTTTCAAAAGAAATTCTACCGGAAAGATCACAGTATTTTGTTTTAAAAAATCCTTCCATTTCTTTGCAAATCATGTAATGGGGTTGTGGGTCTTCTTCTATGATCACTTTCATGATATACTCTCCGCATTCATCTGGTAGCATGTACGGGGTTACTGTTTTCCTTAAATTCTTTACAAATTTATCTACTAGAACTTTTGTTGGGTTGTCGCTTGACATATTTCCTACTTCCGGCGAGATACTTTTTAGCAATGGTGTAAGGACTGGGCCTGGTTCGACTGCTATCACACTATAGCAAAGAGAAAAATATGTATCCTTAATGTTTTTTTATTATTGTTGTTACTGCGAGCATCCAATATGTAATTTTTAAACTCTGGAACAGGAACGCATTTTATTCTGAACGAAGATACTGTAATAAAGATATTATTGTTCATTAAAGTGATACATACTTTGAGAGTTTTCTTTTGCTTTCAATAATACTCAAACAAAATAAATACAAAAAGGGCATGAAGAAAGTATTCTTTCTAACTTCTTTTTTGCTGATAGATAAACGCATTGTTAGATAGATCGAATATCTTTTTTAAACACCTTGACCGGATAACCAAAGGCGATTTTCACGCACAAGGAAAGAAAAACAAACAATTACAAAATAAGCCATTTGCAAAATTATGTGAAAATATGCTATTACATTGAGTCATCGACTGACTTACAAGCTTATCAAGTAATCAAACGATAGATAAAATGAGTTTAGTATTTACAATTGATGTCAATGAATATAATTAGTATGTTGAAATATGATAGTATTATAGCTTTTAGTGACATTGTGAGGAAATATGCACGTACAAGTGTAAGTTTTTCATATATTGCAACAAAAATATTCCGATTTCAAAGACGAGTGCTGTTGACAGACTTCTCACGAGTGCATGTTTTGATGCAAATATATTAATTTCTTTAAGATACTTCGCAGAATAGCCAAATATCGCTGTTTTAAATTAAATCTCGTCAGAAAGGTTTTTTGTGTGGCTAAACTTATCTGTTATAAGAAACCAGCCACCCAAAACAGTGTAATAGTTGTATTAGTTACTCTGCATGCTTACATATACCAGTAAGTCTTCAAATACGCTACCCACAATGAGGCAACATAGGAAGGAATTGATTATTAAATATAAGCGTTCAGGTGTCTTTTTTAGTTGAAATTTATGCTATAGCCATAGGAAGTAGTATTGTGCACAAATGTAATATAATGAATGTATCAACGTTGGTATTCACACACAAGAAAAAAAAACGAACAGTTGTTTTGTTTGATTTTCGAACAAATGGTTCGTTGCTGAACAACGAATTGCTCAAGAACAAATTCCAGGATTATTTATCTCTGCACTATTTACAACTTAGATGCTATCTCCGATTACAAAAAATGCTCCCAACCTTAATTAAAAGTAGAAGTCTAGGGTTGGTGCACGTTAGTTGTTTCCATTTTTTTGCTTTGAAACAGTACATATTTCATCCTAATTGTGCCTTACTTGTCAAATACATGTCAACTTCAAAAACTTTTCCATGATTTCTTCATAATTTTTTTCATACAAGAATGCATACTATAACAGTATCAGCTATATTAAATCAAAATCAAAAGTCTATTTCTTCTACTTGCCCAAGTTGATAGTTACTTCATTAAATTTGCTTTTTAAGGGCTGATAGTTAAAAAATGACGAATATCCACTATTATTTTAATCAAAACAATGGCAATATTAAAACAACATATATTCATACATGCATGTCATAAAATACATAACAATATGTCTCAGAAAAATTTATCTATATGCATATCAGCCACAAAGCCACTCCGTGCGACCGCGTAGGAGTGATCCGATTGCGATAATCGCCCGTGTTTGGGTGGTTGCTATTGTCTTTTACCGCGTACCCCATCTTGACAATGAAGTACGATTCCGAAAGTGCCATAAAGTTGCTTGCGGAGCTGATGTCTATCCCAGTCGAGAGACTTGGATTGTCCAGATAGAGAGTGACCCTAGCTCACCCCTCAAGCAGGGAGACCTTATTTTTGGTCCTCTCCTCGATGGCATCCTGGACTACCTTCACAGGTGACAACAGACCACGGAAGGGCTCGGGGATTGGGAAAGTGTCAAGAGTCGTCGCCATGGATCACCTGCGGTAAATGAGTCAGTGGCTTGTACCTCCAATTGGATGTAAGGCGGTTGTTTGCTCATGTTTAAACATGGCAGCAACAACAAGCGTTGTCCTATCCGCGGTGAATAACTCGCCGGCGGTCAGCCGCTGTCTCCTCGAGCCCAACTTTACGATGCGAGTTAAGGACCTGAACATTGCGGGAAAGGCAATTTTCGTCGAAAGTGCCCAGTTTGAGCTCCATTATCTGAATATCGAGCCTGAAAGCAACAAGCTGTACGATGTTATTGGTGGCGGCGAGACCACGCTCAGCATCCTCACGGGGACATACACAGAGATCGGGCACCTCATCAAAGTTATAAACCAGACTCTGGCCAACGCCGGTCATGACGGTATAGTCTTCAGCTACGGGCGGGCTCAGAGCCGAGTTCAGGTCAGGGTGCCGGCTGGTAAGACCTTGAAGATGGAAGAGATAGCCCATCCTTCATCCTCGGTTTAGGCGAGATTGCGGCAGGTAAATCGTGGGATGCCGCAGGTGGCTTCTCCGAAATCGTGAAAACCCTTACTTAAGGCGATCCTTCTTTAAACGGATCTGATCTACCCCGCTGTGGAGTATGAGGACAACTCTGACAGCCGGGTCCACAAAACCTTTCTCGTGCAGACACACGACGGCATTAACAATTATGTCTTTGCTAAGCCCGACTTGCAGCGTCTACGCGCCTACTAACACTGGAGAGTACATTTCCGAAAGGGTATTCGATCTTTTTGGATCTAAGAACCGTTGATATTAATTAATTTTAATCAGAGATTTAATGTGCCATAAGATATGAACAACGTATCACGTATCGCGTATCAAGCCAATGATGGGTCTTCCGGAGGAGCTTTATGTTGCCTGCCATGGTGTCGCTGCAGCTGCTCACCACGATCTCAGGGTCAAGGTCTGCGAATGAGAGGTTTTCCACTTCTGGAGTTCGACGATATTGCCGATGTCTCACTGGAGGGATGGAGAGCAATGACTCGGGATGCGTTCGTTGACATGGGAAAAAGAACCTACTGTGCGCGGTGCGGACAAAGTGCGGCATTGCTCATCGGGGTCGCTGCCCACTTACTGTAGAGGCACTCCAACACCTCGAGAATGCTTTCAGGTGCATCATCGAGAACTGATTAACACTGGCAAATACCTTGTGTCTTTTTTAGACTCTTGCTGTGCTCAATATAAGGAATGGAAGATGGATTACACGCTCACAAGCGTTGACATCGAACGCCTCCTGAAGGCCCAGTGAGCCGAGGGCGGTTCGTTGGCTCTGTAGCTACGACAGCCTACCACATCTCCACGATGGGCAGTTTTGCATCAGCAACACGGACAACATCTACCCTCTCCATGATCCGGTCGAAGGGGGGCACCACTGGCTAACTGTTTGTTGTACAGGAACGCTTGTCTTCGATAGCTTTGGAGGTGCGCTCGCTGAAATAGAGGAAGCATATACAGAGCCCCAACTGCGCAAGTATTTTCTGGAGGCCTTTCCGGAGTGGTCATGGTTACGAATAAGTTTGCAGTGCAGAGTCGAGCAACGGCTGTCCGTGGGCGCCATGCTGTCCTGGCGGCTGTTTATAGAAGAGGGTTCTGTAGAGGGGCTTTTAAAGAGATTAAGGGGGGTATTCGGCGAAGACACTCTAGCTAATGATCAGAAGGTGCTCGACTTTGTGTGCAGGGTACTGGTGTGGCCGTGCTGCTATCCCAAAGCTGGCTAAAGAGGCTGGCGTCGGCGAGGATGTGGTTCATGAATGGGTAACAAAACAGGCCATCTGGCAGACCTACTTGCCCGCACCAGTGCGAAGTGCAATCCCCCGACCTAATTATGACATCAGCACCCAGAATGAGGTCTACCAGGCAGATCTATTGTTTCTTCCTCACAATCGAGTCGGAAGACGCACATTCAAATACGCATTGACGGTCGTCGACGTAGCAAGTCGGTATGAGGAGGCCCAGGCAATCACAGACAAGACAGAGACCCAGGTTGGGAAGGCGTTAGAGTCTATTTATACCCATGGGACTCTTCGATGGCCTAAAGTTTTACAAGTCGAACAAAGAATGGGTATCAAGATTACCTGAGGTGGTTGAAGCGCTCATTAATGAAACTACTCGTTTAACGGGCGAAAAGCGCTCCCTTGTGATTCGGAAGAATAGCGTTAGTCCAAACCCGCTGCGCCGGCGCTTCGTCCAGTTTGTTTCATAGAGCAACGCTTGCCATCGAGTGTTATGGTGCGGTATTTGTATGCGCCTGGCGAACTCGAGGGTGGCGAACGGCGTAGGGCGACCGATCCTATCTGGAGTGTCACCTCCCACAGGGTCGAGCGGGCTGTGGTTGATGGCGGGAAGCCCGTGTTGTATTATTTGAGCGATGGGCCCAAGCGTGCGTTTGTGCGCGAGGAGCTCCAAGTGGTGCCTGTTATGTTTATTAATTTATGTTAATTTAATAGGATTTACGTTATTAGTTATATTAATTGTTATAAAGCTAAAATATATAAAAAGGAGTTAACTTGTACTATCTAGGCAGTGGTAAAATACACATAAATGAAATATAAAACACTACAGTTGGCGACAAAGATTCGATTCTGATGGACGAAGAAGCCCAAAGTACACAGACAACTGTTGGTTTTAATGTGCCCTTTATGGGACATATGGAAGAATATTCAACGAGTACAGATTGGAAGCAGTACGTTGAGCGGCTTGAAATATTCTTCGAAGTAAATAATGTACCAAGAGAAAAGCAAGCCTCGAGCATACTTATTTGATGGGTAGTAAGATGTATGCGTTGTTAAGATCAATTACAGCACCAAGAAGACCAAAAGAACTTACATATAACCAAATTGTAGAAACTTTAACACAACATCTTGAGCCAAAACCAATAGTTATTGCTGAACGATATAAGTTCCACAAGGCTGAGCAAGGACAAGCGGAATCGATTAGGGAATATCTTGCCAAATTGCAGAGATTAGCAGAAACATGTGAATTTGGGAGTTATCGAGACGAAGCAATTCGAGATCGATTTGTTTGTGGATTGCGAGATCGATCGATTCAACGTAAGCTACTAGGCGAAGTTGATTTGACTTTAAAGTCTGCGGTAGAAAAAGCTTGTGCGGCTGAAT